GACTCAGTCCAGGCAGGTCCATTCCCCCCTCCCAGACCGAGCCAAGTGTCCCTGCATAAGTCCCAGGATTCAAACAGCCAACTCATGCAACGAGCCCAGGACCTGGCATCAGTGCACAGCTGCCTCCCAAACAGATCAAGCCAAATGACTGTCTGACAGCATTTTTATCAAATTCCTCTCTCCATTCATTTAAAAACCTTATGATTTCTATCTTTCTTCCCTTATTTATTTATTTAATTTTAGCATCTACTTTGCTCTTGTCCCACATGCTTGAAAACTTTGTCTTCAGGATAATAACCTTTCATCTGCTTACAGGTGGGTAGGCTAACACCTATCAAGGAAATTTTTAGAGTGAAAGTTGAGTAAAAAAATTCCAGAATTAAGAGAGAATTGTCCCCCAAAAGACAAAGATTCCCCAACTCCCACACCTGTGGAACATTTGCTCTGAGCTCTTGAACTATATACATGAAGTAAAAAATTAGAAGCTGAGAAACACACACACACACACACACACACACACACACACACACACACACACACACACGCTCATTAAATCCATAGTCATTTCACTTAGTGGGTGTATTAGTAGGAGTACTAGAGGTGAGAATTAGGCCAGAATCAGGTAGAGGGCTGGAACTATCCTAGGGATGGTCAAATGTCATTGACATTGATGGAATTCCAGGGACCCAGGAACAGCTGGCTTTCTGCACCTCTCCTGTTGTGGTTAATGTGTATTTTGCTCTGTAGCCCAGGTTGGCCTTGAACTTGATATCTTCCTATCTCAGCCACCCAGAGACTAGGATTCCTGGTGTACATCCACATGCCCAGATGGCAATTTCTTTCTTAAACAGAGAAGTGGAGAAATGCTAGGTGGGAAGTGCTATTGGGAAACACATTTTAAAATGGGTAATTAAAAAAGTCAAAGTTCCTTATTTAGAAGTTTCCACTGAACAGAATATAGTGCAGAAGCTGCCAGTACCTGTTCACACAGCAAGTACTCTCTACTGCCAGAGGCTCAGTGCAAGGGACTCTCAGAATCCACACTCTCCTTGTGTCTGCAAAACCCTCTGTTTTGCTATGGACCCGGACCATAGTTATTAAAGGACCACAGATAAAAGTGCTACCATAACTTGTCTGTTGTGGTACCGTATTAGAGGCATTTCTGATCTCCTCTTAAGCTGCTGGCTATGAAGGACTTTGTTGCTGTGCTGTGCAGGGCCCTTTCCTTCTCCTCTACAGCCTTTCCCACTCGAGGGCAGGATGATTTAGTGGGGTCACCATGTTCAACACTGCCTCTTGTCTCTTCCTGTTATTACAAAGGAGTCCTGCCTGTACCAGTATTCCCATTTGCACTTATACCTTGATCTAAGTGCAGATACCCATGAAAACGCTCGCTGGTAGTTTTAACTGCCCTTAGCCTTCAGGCAACCAGACCCAGGCTGGAACTTGCTCTTTTCTTCCAAGGCTGAGCCTATTTTCTTTTTAGACAAGCTTTCTAGAGGCCAGGGGAGATCACATTGAAATTCATCTCAGAGCCTGTTAACAGCTGTTGTTTCCAGTAGAGACAGGCAACAATATAGTGTTCACACAAAAAGAACAATAAATAACTCTAATATGAAGTGCCTGCTCCTCCTTCATTCTACCAAACACGAAGCATCAATGTAGCTAAGGCTTTGCTCCCTCCGAGCTCTCATCACCCAAGCTCATTTACTCCAACAGAATGAAATACCTTACTTGAGTTATAATTTCATTAAGTGAGTCCAATAACGTTGCACAAAGACTGTGAAGCTCAAATGATTTTGTCTGGAGGATCTTGAAATGAAATTATAATTTTTTAATAAAGCAGGAACACTAGCAAAAGCCCCACAAAATATACCAAACTATTTCACAGCAAAACTGTGAAATATATAAAGACTATTTTAGATCCATCCAAGTCTTCACTTTTTGTCCTTGCTGTTTTTCCCCTTGTCTATCAAACAAAAATAGTGCATCCAGTTAAAATCGAATTTGAGACGAACAATGTTTTTCAGTGTACCTATATTCTCCATATTGTGTGAGGCAAGTGTAAACTCAGACAAGTACTTATTGTTTATCTGAAGTTCATGTTTAAGGCAAAGGGTGTGGATAGACATTTCTCTAAGGAAGATATTCTACTGGCCAATGAGCATGTAATGATTAATGTCAGCAGTTATTAAGGAAGTGCAAGTGCAAGGTAAACCACAATGAAACACCACACCACACCCACAGGATAGCTATTGTAAACTAGACAGGAAATAGAGTGATGGTAAGGTGTAGGGAAAGTGCAAACCCTGAGCTCCATTGATAATGACAAGAAACAGTGTGTTGCTGTGGATATAGCAATCCCTCCCATAGGTCTATACCTTGAAGAACTGAAAGTTTCACTTCACAGTAGCCTAGAGACAGAGGTTAAATGTCCACTCTTAGATGAATGAATAAACAAAAATGTGGTAAACACTCCTCATGGAATATTATTCAGCATGCAAAAGAAACAAACCATGTAATTTGCCTCTATATGGTTGAAATTATGGGCTCTATAGTAAAAGACAAATGCTATATCATCTCATTTATAGCATAATCTGAAAAGTCTAAGGCACTGGAGATGCCAGTCAAAGAACATAAAGCTTTCACCTATGAGAGGACAAAGTTCTGATTCCCTAATGAACAGCATCATGACTATAGGTAACAGCAATGCTTTGAACACTTGCAGTTCAATGAGAACAAACTTTACATCCTTAATACACATACACACTACACACACACAGTCACACACACTACACACATACACACTTACACGCATGTAATGGTAACTATGAGTGGTGATGAGTATATTAGCCTAATTATGATAATTATACAATGTATACATCTAGTAAATTATAACATGACACTCTTTAAATATATATGATCTCATGAGTCAATTAAATATTTTTAAATTAAAATAAATCATTGCCACATCAAAGACAGCAAATTTTAGCTAAATGTCTTTTATTTATTTTTAAAATTAATTAATTAATTATTAATTAATTAATGTGTATGAGAGTTTTCCTTGTATGTATGTGCATCGTATGCCTGCCAGGTGCCCTTGGAGATCAAAAGAGAGTATTGAATCCCCTGGAACTTGAATTATGGATGATTGTGCCACACCATGTGGATGCTGGGAATTGAACCTGGGTCCTCTGCAAGAGCAGTAAATGCTCTTAACCACTGAGTCATTGCTTCATCCCTCAAACAGCCTATATTTTATCTAGTAGTCTTAATGTCTTACGAAGTTTTATTTTCTCTGGTAGATTTTATATCTCAAGGGCCAGCTTATATAAACCAAATGAAGGCAACCTGTAACTAGAGTTTTCCTGCCTGACCCACAGTCAGGACAAATCTCTCTCACCCATCAGTCCCACAGCCACTCAGACCCAACCAAGTAAACACAGAGACTTATACTGCTTTCAAACTGTATGGCCGTGGCAGGCTTCTTGCTAACTGTTATTATATCTTAAATTAATCCATTTCTATAAATCTATACCTTGCCATGTGGCTCATGGCTTACCGGTGTCTTCACATGCGGCTTGTCATGGTGGCAGCTGGCAGTGTCTCCCTTTCGCCTTTCTGTTCTTTCTTTTCTCCTCTGTTAGTCCCGCCTATACTTCCTGCCTAGCCACTGGCCAATCAGTGTTTTATTTTTTGACCAATCAGAGCAATTTGACATACAGACCATCCCACAGCAGCAACCAAATAAATCAGGGAACTCAGACATGCACAACTAAAGAGCCAATTATTATCTGCTACCAGCATTGCTTTACACAAGAGAAATATCTTCATTCCAGAAATAATGGTTTTTAAGACAGAACTGAACACATCATTTTAATATTCTCAGAAAAGGGTGAACAATTACATTTTCAATACACAGAAAAACTAGAGCAAAGTTATTTGATCTCAGCGCCTTTCCTTATCGCCTCCTGGATGCCTCTTGTCTATTTGACATCATATTCAAGGGGTTCAGTATGCTTTAGTACTCAACTGATGCTCATTTTACAAGTTTCACAGACTTCTTTTGAAAAGCAGATTTCATACAGATTGCTAATGAAAGATGGAGGCCATATTTCACTGAACCCAATTCTAGGCATTTTGGGTCTATGAAGAATTCTTTACATTTCTAGTTGCCTCTTCAAACTCTGAATGGTTGGTGATGGGCCAAGTGCCTCTCCAAGGAGTGGCCTGTAAGGGCACACTGTTTTACTCACACTGTGAGTCCATTGGAAACTGACCCGGAGAGCATGAAGCAGGCTTGGCATGGCCCTAGTGGGGAAGAGAAGACTGGATTTCACCAAAGGTTGGCTCATAATTAGCCAACATATACTCTAAATGCATTGCTTGAAATGTTTTAGGACATTTGCATTATAAACCATATTACTTGTAGAACAAATAGCTTTGCTGTTATTGAACCAATTGTATATTTTTTGGGAACATGTGGGGAAATGTTTTCAGTGTATGGAAGGACTTGTCTAGAACCTGATGACATGAGAGAGCTGGAACTTGCAAGACAGAAGACTAAAGATGTCATGAGCATTATACTAATTTGGAAAACCGCTGTGCTGACATAGGGCTGGAAGATATACTTACTGGAATAACTAACTTGTGGCTAT